ACGCCGGGTTTTGTACACAATAAACCCTCCTCCGGGTGGATTCCAAAGTTACACCCTTCTTATCGTGTTCTTCCTTGGGGCTGACAACAGGGCGTAATTCGACGGTGACACACGTCAGATGTTTACGTTACAACATCTTTCATAAAGTATTTCACTATCTATCAAAAAGAAATAGATAGTAAAATATATCTACAGGTCCAACGTAGCCATCAGGAATCCGCTTACCGCTCATCGAAATCTATGCATTGGGTCTGGAGGGCAAGATGCAAGCGCATGGCTCAGTCAAGCATGACAGTCACGAATGACCAATCGAGTAACGGTCTGGTCATCTGCTCATTGGCTAGTTTGATGGCCCTAACCATTTCGAGAGCGAAATAAAAGTTCGATTCTTTTAAGTGATCGCAAGTGATTGCGAACCGGTGTCTACGCTATACTGTGCTAAGGCGTGTGCCCGTTCGCTCAACACACCCCGTACTACAGTTTGGGTATGACATCTTACCTTTAAAAACAATCCAAACACAACACATTTTATTTTGGCCAATGATTTGCGAGGTTGAGTACTGCAGTAGGCTAAATAATGACAGCTTCACGTTTCCCTTAGCTTTATCTTTTCCTTAAATCGGCTGCCTGACACGGAGGACGGCGAATAGCTGATAGAACAGCTCAACTGTAGGCAGGTTGCAACAGCCTTAGAAAATGAATAAAACATTTAAATAACCACTGCTTATTCACAGTGAACACAGTCTAAATGGCTTTTAATTTAGATATTGTCAGAGGCCAGAGGGAAGATCTGTGCGGGGAGAGGGCAGGAGGAATCAGGGGGAGCTTAACTTACTTCTAGGACGCAAGAGAGCATACTGAGGGTGGCTAGTTCCTCAGGCAGGGTTCCAATTCGTGTCTTGACAAGTCGCCAAAGTGCACGTCTGCCGGCAGCCGAACCAGTGACGCCCAGAAGAGCACGATAGCGGTCCTGTTTGCGCACAAAGTCAGTGAAGGTGAGTTGGAAGAGGCGCTCAATCAGTTCGGGACGGGTGGAGGCACCGAGACAGCCCAGTAGGCGCACGCGTTCGGAATGCATTGTAGCCTTGTCATGAAGCTGGGAGAGAGAAAAGGCAGAGTAAGTAATAAGCCGCAGCACAATCAGCATCTCAACGTTGAACGCCAACCGGTACGAACGGCTAATTCTGCGACGGATGAACAAGCTGGGTAACGGAACCTAGATGAGCTAATCCCCTCCTTAAACATTGGCCAGTGAACAGTAACCACAGTGGCATGGACCGAATTTGATTGGTTGCCGCTTTTGTCAAACATGACTGGAA